TTTCCATAATAAAACACATTTTTAATTGCATGAAGGAAGATGCTATTTCTGTTTTACAGATGAGGAAACTAAAACTTCCAGAGGTTAAGTAACTTGGTCTGAAATCACACAGCTGGTAAAGTGATGAGTCTGGAATGTGAACAACCCAGAGTCCAGAACTTAAGCTATTAACCATGGGGCCAGTTTCCCAGGGGAAGAGAGCAGTGTGTGGGCTTGTGCTAGGGGGCAAAGCAGCCCTGCTGGGCCTGAGCAGAGTCTGTCAGAGAATTCTGGAAGCAAGAATAGGTAACAAGGTGGTGGCCAGGGTGTGATGGAGTTAAGAAATGTTTTCTTTGTTAGATTCCTCCTTGCAGGTTAACTAGTGGCTACCAGCGGGGACTTAGCACCTGACTGTCCTGGTTTGAGTACTGGCTCTTCCACTTGGTAGCAGCATGACTCAGGCAGGTCAATTCTCTCCCTTAGTGTCCTTATTTAGAACCCAGATAAGCTGGGAGTGGGGGGAATGCATGCCTGTAATCCCAATGGTTTGGGAGGCTAAGGCAGGAGGATAGTGAGTTCAAAGACAGCCTCAGCAATTTAGTGAGGTCCTAAGCAACTCAGTGAAATACTGTCTCTAAATAAAATATTAAAAAGGGCTAGGGTGGTTAAGCACCCCTGGGTTCAATTTCTGGTACCAAAAATAAAATAAAAAGGGGGGCTGCAGTTGTGGCTCAGTGGTAAAGTGTTTGCCTAGCATGAGTGAGGCACTGGGTTAAATTCTCAGCACAGCATATAAGTAAATGAATAAAATAAAAGTCTGGGCTGGGGATGTGGCTCAAGCGGTAGCGCGCTCGCCTGGCATGCGTGCAGCCTGGATTCGATCCTCAGCACCACATACAAACAGATGTTGTGTCCACTGAAAAAACTAAAAAAAAAAAATTAAAATTAAAAAAAGTCCATCAACATCTTTAAAAATAGTTTAAAAAATAAAATAAAAATAAAAAGGGATGGGGATGTAGCTCGGTGGTAAAATACCCCTGGGTTCAATCCCCAGTACTGAAAATAAAAACGAGCACACAAAAATATCCCCTATGTCCCTGCAAAGACTTGGTGTTTTCGGGCATTTTTGTGGTACTGGGGATTTAACCCAGGCCTTCAGACAGGCTAGGCAACTACTTTACCACTGAGCTACACTCCCAGCCCCACACAAAGAATGGTATTGCAAAATTCATAATAGTAGCCAGGCACAGTGGCGCACACCTGTAATCCTAGCAGCTCAATAGGCTGAGACAGGAGGATCACAAGTTCAAAGCCAGCCTCAGCAACTGGAAGTGCTAAGCAACTCAGTGAGACCCTGTCTCTAAATAAAATACGAAAGAGGGCCGGGGATGTGGCTCAGTGGTCAAGTGTCCCTGAATTCAATCCCCACTACCCACCCCCAAAAATGTTCATAATAGCATTATTCATAATAACCAAAAGTGAAAACAATTCAAGTGTGACTGAATAAACAAGTTGTGATGGGGCTGGGGATGTGGCTCAAGTGGTAGTGCGCTCGCCTGGCATGCGTGCGGCCCGGGTTCGATCCTCAGCACCGCATACAAACAAAGATGTTATGTCTGCCGATAACTAAAAATAAATAAATATTAAAAATTATCTCTCTCACTCTCTCTTTAGAAAAAAAATTGTGGTATATCCATACAATATGATATTATTGATCAATAAAAAGAAACAAACTATTAATCCATATTAGAACACAAATAAACCTCAAAAATGTTATGCTTGTGTGAAAGAAGTGCAAAAGACTACATATTGCATGATTTCATTTATATGAAATGTGCAGAAAAGGGATCGCTATACAGACAGAAAGTAGATTAGTCTCAGGGGGTGGGATTGGGAACACAAGTTGACTGCAAATGGAGATGAGGAATCTCATAAGAAAAGTTCTAAAGGTGAGTTATTAAGATGGTTGCATAAGTCTAAATCTACTTAAAATTGCTGAATTGGACAGTGGGTTAAGTATGGTATGTCCATTTAAAAAACAGCATCTTATAGGATTAGTATGGGGGTTAAATATCAGAGGTTTTAGAACAGAGACTGGCATGCAGAAAGTGCCGAAAATGTTATTATTATAGAACTGACATCTGCAGCAGTTCCCTGAGGTGCCTTCTATGGGAAAAGTGCAGTTAGGCAGGTCCTCTGCTTCCAAATCCTTGAACACCATCATTATTGCCTAGATGGACCAAAGAAGGGGAAGGGCTGGCATCCAGGTTCCCAGGGTCCCTTTCTGCCCCTATTCTGGAGGTTTCATAGGGGACCCAGCAAAAAGCTGTGTCTGTCATTTTTTTGGTGAGTGTGAGAAGGTGGTAGCCCTCCTCATCTCATAGGCCGAGAACGGGGTCGAGTGTCCTCTACTGTAGGCAGTGGGAATTGCATCGGGTGAGCTGGACCGCCTGGGTAATGGTGACCACTCACTTCGTGTTTCAGCCCTTCTAACAACATCGTGAGGAAGCCGCAGTTGTCCCTTTCCCTGGGAGGGATGCTGCAATTCAGAGTGTCTACATGATCTGCCCAGTAGTACACAGCTGGTCCCCAGTTCAAGGCTTCTGCAAAAGGTGGCTTGATGACCCCAGGCCATTGCATCTAGAGAAACTCACTCTGACTACTGCTTCAGTAATCTCGGACTGTATGCTGGGGTGCCTGGTTAAAGGAAGGGGACGAAGGGAAAGTAGAAGCAGAGGGGATTCATCCTCTATGGAAGGACTCTCAATAGCACTGGTCCCTTGTTAAAAGCCAAAGCTGCTAACTTCAGATTTGGGGAGCTGGAAGCTTTTGGAGTGGGAGAAGGAAGATCTTCACTGTTATGTAATATTCACTATTTATTCATACAGAAGATTTTCTTGGGTGTTCTTGCCTGTGTCAACATTGTGTTAGGTGCGGGAATGCAAATATGAAAGACTCCTGGGGACAGGGGGGCTCTGGAGTCCAGGGGCCTATATGGGCCCAAGCTTCTTCTGGCATCTCAGCCAGAGAATAGAGAAGAGCTGGATCAAAGCAGGTGCCCTTTGCCCCACAAGCAAAAGAAATCTGGCACTGCTGTCTGTCTCTGCTCTGCTCCCCCCCCCCAAGCTGTGAATATCATCATCTTTCCTTCCAGAACTTTCCTCAAGTAGTGGTGTGTGTGTGTGTGTGTGTGTGTGTGTGTGTGTGTGTTTGGGTCATGGTTCTTGAGGTAGTCAGGAATCCTGGAGACTAGATCAAATTTAGCCAAGTGACCTGGCAGGACCCATGGATTTCCCTCATGACAGCTGCCCTGGAGATGTCTTCTGCAGAGGACTTAGAGGATGACTGTTTTGAGCAATAAAACACCACACCGCCTCATCCCTCTAACCCTGGCCTCCCTTTCACCTCTAGATCCTGACAAAGGGAGGTGGGGGAATTAGACCCATCTTATCCCTTTCTTCTCAGATGTTATTTGATGTCATGTAGGAAAATTATGCCCCCATGGTCACTGCTGGGAAGGCCAGGATGCATCATTTGACAGAAACTCTTCCTTGTCCTGGCTCCAGAATGGGATATTTCTCCTTAAGTCCCCCCTTCCCCCAGCATCCTCCCACCCTCTTCCTCCAACCCATCACACACCAATTTCTCTTTTCTGCAGATGGGAACAGCCATATGCAAACAACCTGATTTTTATCAAGAGAGAGAGATTCCATTCACTCATTTATTCATTCACGAATATTCATTGAGTTCCTCTTACATCTGCGCACAGATCTAGGCAGTGGGGATATAGAGTGATCAAGACAAAGTATTTCCCTCACATGTGGGCTCTTCTGGGCAGCCAGGGCATCAGCTCAGTTCCAGACTAATGGGAGAGACACACCAAAGAACAAACACATTCACAGACTTTCCTATAATAGTAAGCTGTGCAGACACTAAAGAAGGGTAAAAGGATGGAATGTGCTGAGGTTTGTGTGCTGAATGATCAAAGTATTTAGTGGGAATTCACTTTTTCCTTGTTTTACACTCTTTGAGGGAGCTGAGAGTGAGGGTCTGTGTGTCCCTTCAGCCACCTCGTCAATTCATTTTGGCAATTCAGGACTCAAAGTATGACTTTAGGGGTGGCTACAGAGCAAGCCCTTTGTAATTCTGTTAAGAGGTGGGGTATACTTAAGATACTGCATTAGAGAAATGGAAACAGGTACTGAGAAAACCTATTTATCATCTTCCACGAGTGTAATAACACCCCACAAATTAATTTTTTCCTTTATGCATCTTGCTTATGCATACTGAATTCATTCTACAAACATTTTTTCCAGTATTGTGACTGAACTCAGTGTTGCTTTACCACTGAGCTACACCCACTGCTATTTTAATGTTTTGAGACAGTCTCGCCAATTTACCAAGATTGGCCTCGAACTTGGGATCCTCTTGCCTCACTCAGCCTCCCCAGTAGCTGCGATAACAGAGTGCACTACAGCGTCTGGCCTCAACGAACACTTTTTGAGTCCACTGTGTGCCAGGCACTGTCCTTGCGGCTGGAAATTCTCTGCCTATAGGAATTCTTGCTGATCAGTTTATAAACCACCATCGCCTCATTTATCTCTTCCCTTAACACTGTATGTGAGTTTCATATCTGTTGATTCACATAGCTCTCCATCAGTCCCAAGAAGGCAGATATGAACGTTCCCATTTTGCAGATGCGAAAAGTATGACCGCTAAGGGAAAAAACCGAGTTGCTTTGCGATGACTAAATGCCAGGACTCCACTGGGCCACGTGCAGCAGCGCATCTGGCCCCTCGCGATCCCACCCGCGCACGCTCGCTCTTTCCCTCCCTGCCGCCGCCGCGCCGGGTCCACGTGTGTGTGTCTGTGTGCGGAATGGGGACGGGGGCGGTGCCGCCGGAGGGGTGGGGTCGAGGCTAACGTCACGGACAGTGCTACCCAATCAGCGGCGGGCTCGCGGCCCCGGCGCTGGTATTGGGGCAGCGAGGGGGCAGTTCTCTATAACGCGGTCTCCGGGAGCCAGCGGGGAAGAAAGAAGCCGAGCGGGCGGAAGGCGCCCTCCCCGCCGCCTGGGCCCGGGCACCGGGTGCCGGGCCGGGGTCCTTCCCGCCTCCGGCGACCGTCGGCCGCTTTGTTTTCCCCGCCTCAGCGCTTCGGGCGACTTGGGAGGGCTCTCGCCCGGGCTGCGCAGAGAACGCTGCGGCAGGAAGGGCGGCTGGCCGCGCCGGGACTCGCAGGGACCCAGGAGTCCGGCCGCCGGGAGGGCCGCGTGACGAGATCGAGGAGGGAGCCAGAGCGCCGCGGGCCGGGGTAGCGGGCTCCGGGCGCCCGTGAGCACAGACCTCCCCGTCGAGGGGGGGGCGATGTTCCCCTCCCCCGTGGGCTCTTCGGGCAGCCAGGGCATCCGGCCACTGGGACCAGGGCCCCCTCAGTGGGCACCCCCTCAGGCTGCTCCATGGAGACTCTGTGTCCCCCTCCCCGCCTGGCAGTGCCGGCGTCCCCGCGAGGGTCGCCCTGCTCCCCTACACCCCGGAAGCCGCGTCGGGGGACACAGGAGTTCTCTCCGCTGTGCTTGCGTGCCCTTGCCTTCTGCGCCCTTGCCAAACCCCGGGCGTCCTCTCTGGGCCTGGGGCCTGGAGAGCTGGCGCCACGGGCCCCGGTGCTGCGGGGCCCTCGAGCCTCCCTGTGCACCGGCGGCTGGGCCCCGGATGGTCTGAAGTACCTCGGGGCACAGGCCGGGCAGTTCAGCGATCCAAAATACCCTGCGGGCGAGGATGCCGGTGTCGCGGTGTGCCCGGGCGGCGGAGAGGAGGAAGAGGGAGGAGGCAGCTTCCCGCACTTCGGCGCTCGCTCCGACGCACCTCCGGGCCGCTGCCCGGATCCCCGGCGTCCTCGGGAATCTTCGACCAGCTCCGCCTCGGCTCCGCCTGGGCCAGACCAGGATCTCGAGTCCCAGCCTGATCCAGCCGCCTGCCCGCCTCAGGATCCTGGCTCCCGGCCTCCGCCGCCACCTGCGGGCCTCTCCACCGAGCCCGCATGTCCCGGGGCGGCTCCCGAGCCATCCCTGCAAGGCCAGGAGGCTGCAGTGGATGGAAACCTCCCGCTGGCGGCCCCCGAGGCATCAGCGGTTAGTTCCTCGACGGCCAGCGCAGCTCCGGCCGCGCCGGGCGATCTCCGCCAGGAACATTTCGATCGTCTGATCCGCCGGTCGAAACTTTGGTGTTATGCGAAGGGCTTCGCCCTGGACACTCCGAGTTTGCGCCGGGGTCCCGAGCGGCCGCCAGCGAAAGGGTCGGCCCGGGGAGCAGCCAAGAAACGCCGGCGGCCACCTCCGCCCCAGCGGAGCGCGCAGCCCCGCCGCCCTGCACCGACACTCCCCACCAAAAGCACCTTCAGCCTTCTGGACGCCTTTCCCTGCCCTCCGGCCCTGGTGGTGCGGGAGGACGGAGACTTAGGGCCTGCATCTTCGCTTCGCCTACAAGGAGACGCTAAGCCCCCTCCTGCCCACCCCTTATGGAGGTGGCAGATAGGGGGACCCGCCGTTCCTGAGCCCCCTAGCCTCAAATTCTGGGGGGTCAACCTGGAAGAACTCTAAGCGTGGGATTTGTTCTGCCAAGTTTGGGAAATTGGGGCTACTGCCAAACCGCGGGCTTGAGGAGACCGCCTCATTTCCCACATTTGCCTGTTCCCTTCCTTTAGGTGTTTTGGGCTGTGGGCAGAGAGACCTCAAATGACAGTGAGCTTTAAGCACCTAAGAGGTCGGAGTGAGGTTCCCTCCAACTCATCTTTGCCGAGGAACCGAGGGCTGGAGTCGGGAGAAGGCTTGACCCCTTAAGGCTGAATGACACAGATTCCAATCCCTCCTCCACCTCGGTCTCAGGGGCCGGGCCTTCACACCCCAGGGGGGAGAGAAGGAGGCTGGCTCTGGACTGGGGAAAAAAAAGGGGGTGGTGGGGGAGACTTTGGTGATGGACAAACCGGTTGTTTCTGCGTTGGAGGGCTAGCCTGGGGGTGTGGGGGCTGTGGTAGGGGTGGGAAGGTGATTGGCAGCGCCCCGGGGGCATCCCCACCCCCATCGCCCAGGCCTTTAACCCTTCACTCCCTACCGGCCTTCCCAAGCCTTCTTAGCACCACCAGATCTGTGATAGGGAAAGGGGGGCAAATCACCTCCTTCCTGTTTCCTTCCTAGGGTCCCCTAAGTTGGAGTGACCCCTTAATTGGTGAAATCTTCAATATCAGCCACCAGCCTCTTTCCCTTTTGTCCAGTTTTGGAGTTTCTTCAGATTTCTCTTTGCTTTTTGTTCATAAACTGATGGTGAAAGAGCACCCCCCACCTTGGTAAATTGGCCTTCTCCCCAAGTTGCTCTTCATAGGAAGAGGGGCAGTGCTGAGGGACCCTGCCCCATTGAGGAGTTTGCCTGGGGAAGGGGCTGGGGACTGTCCCAGGGAAAGTAATGGAAGGTGGAAGAAATCAATAAAGTCAGACCAAACAAGTTGCCTTTCGAGGACCACTCCACAAATTCATGGATGGGAGGGGGGTTGAAGTAGAGGGCTGGCCTGATTCCGTTCTTTGAACACCCAAACAGCCCCCTAAAGGGTGGAGACAAAACAAGCAGTTTTTTACAGAGTGCTAAATGAAAGAGCTCTTGGCCTAACCCCTGGGGTTCGAAAGGGGAAAGTTTGGGTTTGTATGGGACCTGGGCTGAGGTACTTTCTTCCTCCTCTAGCCTCAGGCATTTCGGGAGTTGTCAGGGATCTGATGGATCCGAAGGGGGCAGGGCCAGGGGATTAGGTTTGAGGTCAGAGGTTCTGTTTTCCAGGCGGAGGGGAGAGATAGGCCTGGGCCACGCCCCAGCCCAGAGGGTTCCCTGGAGTCGTAGAGGGACGGAATGAACGCTTTCCTCCATCTTTCCAGGTGAGGTCAGAGGAGGCCAGGTCTCAGGGTGATTCCTGGCTGAGGTGAGGGGCAGTTGTGGAACCCTTCTGCCCATATTGCGCTGGTGAATAGCGCTCCCTCTTCCCCCAAAACCAGGGTGAAGGGGGAATAATTCCCACATACAACACTGGGGAAGGACTTGTCTCCTTTTCTGTGAAAATGCTTTGTAAAAAGTTGTTATTGTTTGCATAGAGCAGATTCTTGAGAAAAAGTGTTTTGGACCACAAAATTGTGTGTGTTTTCAAAGCTGTCTCCTTTCATTTTTCTTTCCCTGGGGGTCAGGGTGGGGGTGGGCGTGTGGTGGGCACTGCTCTTTTAACATCTGGCCTTTATGAACCCTGCTGACCTCCCCTCCCCCCTCCAGCTGTGTCATTGGAAGGAGGAAGGAGGGTGGGAGAGTGCCTTCCATTCCTTCGTGTTTCAGAGGTATCTATCTTGACCCCCAAGAATAAAGGAGAAGAGGAAGGGAGGCACTGGGTCTGAAGGGATGATGTTTGTGGGAGGAATTGGGAAAGGCAGGCTCCCTGATTTTAAAAAGCTCCTTGCTTTTAGTGATATGGTCTGGGTCAGCTTTGGCCTTTTGGACCTGCCTGTAACTGGGGATGGAGTGGCTTAGCTTTGGGCAAAGGAGAAAGAGATGCTGGGCAGGAGGTTCCCTTCTTACACCCCCTCTAAGGGGCAGGAGGTGACAAGTTTGGCTGCCCCCACCCCCATGAAAGGATTTATCCTTGACCTGGAAGGAGGCAGTGGTGAGTTAAAAAACATACCTTTTGGTCGAATCTAGAATTCCCCTTCTTGCTGAATGAAGTTCAGTTTGGAGACTCTCAGGACTCCTAGTGACTTCACAGAATGGGGAACTGAATTAGTTTCCTCAGGTTGTCATAACAAGTTTCCACAGACTTGATGGTTTAAAGCACAGAAGTGTACCCTCCTACATTCGTGGATGCCAGAAGCCCAAAACTATGGTATTTGCAGGGTTGGGCTCCCCAGAAGGCTCTAGGGGGAAGTACCTTCCTTGCCTCTTCAGCTTCTAGTGAACCCAGGCATTCCTCTACCTCAGCTGCACATCACCCCTCCTCTCTGTCTCTTATAAGGCCACTTGCCAATGGCTTCACAGTCCACCCAGTAATCCGGGTTGATCTCGTCCAGACATCCTTAATTACATTTTCAAGACCCCCTTTCTAAGTGAGGCCATATTCACAGGTTCTGGAGGGCTCGGGGTTAAGACATGGACATACCTTTTTAGATTCCATCATTCAACCCACTACAGAAACTAAGTTCCAGAAAAAAGAACTTTGCTTAGACCTGGGGGGAAGGAGGCATGTAATAGAGTGAGTACCGGGTTTTGGTGTGGGTCATGGCTTCTTCTTGAGCTGGGGCCACAGTCCCTTACAGGAGTAGCTGGGAAAAGGGGAACATCTGACCCCTTGCTTTCCTCAAGCGAGGATCCTGGGACTCCCCTCCCCCACCAGTATACACCAGAGCCTCCAGGAGGGGTGGGGGAAGCTGCCTGTGGTTCCAAGAGCTTCCCAGACAGTAGGTGCCCAGAGCCCCAGCTGCCTCTCCCCCGCTTCTGGCATTTGGGGACTTGGAAGTCACTGGTCTTATTTCTGTTTGGGTTTCTAAGTTCTATTCCTGAGTCATCTCCTTTCCTTTAAGTCCTCTCGGTGGGCCTCCAGGTTCCTGCCCCTCCTCCTCAGGCTGTTGGCAGCAGCACAGAGTGACACTCACTTGCTGACCCCAACTGCCCTCCTTCAGCCTCCTCCCTCCTCCTGGCAGCCTCACTGCCCCCATGCGATCAAGCGGCCTGACTTCTGCCCGCTAAAACTGCTTTTTGCCCTAGTCACCATGACAGCCTCACCCACAAATCCAGTGGTCACTTCCCTTCCCGAAATTCTTCATTACCTGTGACACTGCTAGTTGCTCAAAAGGCTCCCCTTCTCCTTGGTCTCCCAAGGTTCCTTATCTGTTTCCTTCCTTCTGTCCTCAGGAAGTTTTAAAATGAGGGGACCCTGAGATGTCCAGGTGGCCCCCTGTCCATCTCCCCACAGGATTCCTTTTTCTTCCTCTCTAGTCTTCAGATTGCACCTGCATAGTGACTCCAGACAACTGTCCCTTTCTCTCCTCCCTCCAGCCTGAGCTTTGGCGCTTAAACTGGCAACTCATTCTCTCCCTAATCCCCCTGGTCAAGTCCCTATTCCCATTAGTCCCATTTTCTCCATGTGACCTCCCCAAAACTCAGCACCTTCAATTCCCAGTGGGGTCCTCCCATTGGAGCCCTGGCTACCCATTTCCACCCCATCCCCTGCTTCTCAACTCCCCAGGATCTCTGGCACCTATCACCTCCATTCCAACATGGCTCAGTGTCCACAACTCTAACCTGGATTTTTACAGTAGCCACTAACTAGTAAATGGTCATTTGATTTTTCTCTGATTTCCTCATATATGGTTTCTTCTTAATGGGTTTCCTGATTAAGGAATGCATTCTGCTGTCATATATAACAAATTAGAATAAAATTTTTTTTAAAAAAAAGTGAAGCAAGAGGTACAAGATCATTGTAGAGGGGAGCAAGAAAAAAATGACAAATAATTATAACCATGTAGTTGATACCCTAGCTTTTGGGGTATCAGCCTGTCATTTGGGGTCCTGTGTGATTTGACTTCTTGTGCAACTTTATGCCCTTTTACTACACTGGAAGTCTCTTCCTTCCCCAGCTGTCCTCCCCTCTCTCCCTCTATTCTTTCCTCTTTTTTTTTGTATCAGGAATTGTACTCAGGGGCCCTTAACCACTGAGCCACATCCCCAGCCCTTTTTTGAATTTTATTTAGAGACAGGGTCTTGCTGAGTTGCTGAGGGTCTTGCTAAGTTGCTGAGGCTGACTTTGAACTCACAATTCTCCTGCTTCAGCAACCCCACCCCCCAGCTGCTGGGATTACAGGAATGTGTCACCATGCCCAGAACCAAAGACCATTTAAGATGCCATCTCTTCCATAGAGACTTCTTTGATATCCCTATTGGATGTGTGATCCATTGGATGTATGATCCATGTCACTTTTTTTTTTTTTTAAGAGAGAGAGAGAGAGAGAATTTTTTTAAATATTTATTTTTTAGTATTCGGCGGACACAACATCTTTGTTTGTATGTGGTGCTAAGGATCGAACCCGGGCCGCACACATGCCAAGGGAGCGCGCTACCACTTGAGTCACATCCCCAGCCCCCTCAAGTCACTTCTTGATCCTCTTCACTCTTTTGTTTCTGGTGGGAGGAACAGTGGAGTGTGGAGGGAGATTATGGGCTTTGGGTCAAACACTCCCATTTCCTCTCCCTACCGAGAAGTTGGGTCAGTGAACTCTTGGGAGAACCTTCTGACCTAAGCTTTCATTTCATGACCTTGTCTTTGGTCATAACTGAAAGTCACTGGTATGTAACAGCACTTCTGAATCCCTCCTGAAATTGTAAAAGTTTCCTGAAAATCAGCCAGGATTTCAAGTTTGAGGCCAACCTCAGCAACTTAGTGAGGCCCTGTCTCAAAATTAAACAATAAAATGGGCTGAGGATGAAATTCAGTGGTAGAGCACTTGCTTAGCATGCATGAGGCCCTGGGTTCCATTCCACGAACCACAAAACAAAACAAAATAAAAACCTTCCCAGGAAGACTTGTCTAATGTGCCAACTCTCACTACATGGTGTTTCCATTTTCCTTAACTTAAGATGAAAAGCTAGGGTATCGACTACATGGTTATAATAATTATTATTTTTTTTCTCGCTCCCCTCTACAGTGATCTTGTACCTCTTGCTTCACTTAAAAAAAAAAAAAAATTTATGGGGCTGGGGATGTGGCTCAAGCGGTAGCGCGCTCGCCTGGCATGCGTGCGGCCCGGGTTTAATCCTCAGCACCACATACAAACAAAAGATGTGGTGTCCGCCGAAAACTAAAAAATAAATATTAAAATTCTCTCTCTTTCTCTCTCTCTAAAAAAAAATTTATTCTAATTTGTTATATATGACAGCAGAATGCATTATAATTCATATTACACATATAAAGGATATTTTTCATATCTGTATACAAAGTATATTTACACCATTCGTGTCTTCATACATGTACTTTAGATAATTATGTCCATCTCATTCCACCATCATTTCTAACCCCATGCCCCCTCTCTTCCCCTCCTACCCCTTTGTCCTGTCTAGAATTTATCTATTCCTCCCATGCTGTCCCTCCCTACCCCACTATGAGTCAGCCTCCTTATATCAGAGAAAACATTCGGGATTTGTTTTTTAGGGATTGGCTAACTTCACTTAGCATTATCTTCTCCAATTCCATCCATTTAGCTGCAGATGCCATTTTATTCTCTTTTATTGCTGAGTAATATTCCATTGTGTATATATATACCACATTTTTTTTTACCCATTCATCTACTGAAGGGCATCTAGGTTGGTTCCACAATTTAGCTATTGTGAATTGTGCTGCTATAAATATTGATGTAGCTGTGTGCCTGTAGTATGCTGTTTTTAAGTCCATTGGTATAGACCGAGGAGAGGGATAGCTGGGTCAA